TTCAAAAACATGAAAATTCTTAATGGAGTACCCTCATTTTTTATTAAATTCTTAAAAAACAATATTTATAATGAATTTTAATAATTTTTTCGAATTTTTTTTAAACTTTATTCTGACCGATTCACCCGATTCCTGATCCGGATCGTCGATTCGTCGATCCGGATCGGTTTTTTGGAAGCCCGATCCCGGGTCACCGATCCGTTTTTTAAACCATTGCCCCCAACACTAAATAAAGAAATAGTCTTCGGAGTTAAACCGGAATTAGACTCCTCGGCGTTGATTAAAATTAGCATGACTTTGAATTATTTGTTGTTTTGTGCTCATCCAATGATCTATATCATTGATGAGAGCATAGTCCAAGTAATTTCTGGTTTTTCATGGGAAATTACCTATATGCAATTAAACTTTTCAAACTGATTGATTGTAAACTAACATCTGCAATTCATGTGTGTCCTTTTGTCTTGTTCTCTTTGATCAACAATAATATCGCTCCCTTGGAAGTTTCAATTTGTTATTTCCGGGGGATTTTAATGGTGCGATACTGGTTGATTGTTTAAAGACTTTAAAGATATTTTTTCATCTCTTGTGATGTAGGGAAATAAAGCGGAATAGTGGCAAAACAAGAAGGAACATACTTTGGAGTTAACATATTCTAAAAGAAGTTAGGTATGGGACCGATATGAGTTAAGATGAGCAAGAGTAGACTTAGGTGGGTTGGCCATGTGTGGCGCAAACCTTATACAACACATTTTTGGAGGTGCGAGTTAGTTCAATTGAAATGTTTAAAAAGGGCAATGGGTAGGCCTAAAAGGATTTAGTTGGATGTAGTGAGTAAAGATATGGGGTCTTATGGCCTCACTGGAGATATGGTACTTAATGGAGCAAAATAGCGGATTGAGATTCGTATAGTCGACCCCAATTTGTTGGGAAAAGGCTTTGATGATGATGATGATAAAGTGGAAAAATGTACAATAAAACCATTTATTTTGGGTGCGGTTTGTATAGAGTTGATGCTCTAAACAATCAATGTAAAGCGCATCTTCAAATGGTATTGAGAAATGTGGTTTCAATACTGGAAATGTTTGTAATAGCCGTAAAATATATTTTCATGTTTAATTATACTATGTAAGCTTAAAAAACACTTTATATTGTGAGCAGATCTTTGAAAACTCAAAAAACCTGAAAAAAAAAAAAATTGGGTACTTCAGTGGGGATGACGAGTCCCTACCCGTTTTTTGAAATCGTTAATGGTTTTTTAATACGTTTGGTATGAATGGAAGCCTAGATCTTAGCTGGAGCACAAGTGATGCTACCACCACGACCCCAACCCCATTCTCAAGATGCACTATTTCTCAAGCTTGAGATCCATTTTTTCTCATGTCCGTGCATCTTGATGTCGAGATCAATTTGAAGATATTTGAGCTTCAAAACAACCTCTTCTAGTTAAGTATTTGACGTGGGCTTTAATTTGATTGTTTAGAGCCTTGACTTTATATAAGCTTTTTCCTTTATTTTTGGTGCTAGGAGATGACTAACTTTTTGCCATTAGATCTAAAATTGGGTGGCTAGAGTTGCGCCACTAACTTGGCTCAGAGTCCAAGGGAAGATTTTCTGAAGTTTGTGACGCACCCAAGCTACATCGATGGATGGAAGTGATTACAACCTCTTTATTCGAAAAATAAATGGTTTCGTAACATACAACCCCAGATATAAATGGTACAAGCATTATTAGTTTGTTATTACACTCTGTTCTATGTTGCTGTTTTCCTCTCCATTGTGTGAATTTTTAGGCTAGTTTACGAGAAAATGCCCCTTAGTGTGAAAATTAGTTTAGAGCCTTTTTTTTTTCATTTTATGTTTTTGTATTTTTGTTGTTCCCCAAGGTCAGTTTGACACTCCAATTGCCGAGTCGACCTCAGTTCATAAAATGAAAAAAACTGAAGTTGTAACACATATTTGACTGTGAGGGTCATTTTTATCCAAAATAATATGAAAAATTTACCTGGGGTACATTTGCTGGTAATAAAGCATTTGGTGTGATGACAAAATCAGTGACAGCATCTTATGTGGGCGTTTATGTAAATTCCTAAAATTTTCTTGAACTAATCCTTTGCTCTGTGACATTAAAAAAAAGAAAAAAAAAAAAGAAAAGAAAAAACCTGTATGTCATTATCAGCAAGATTCCCAAGGGTGGGAAGTTAATCAAGACACTCATGGTTTTTGAGGTGCAATGTTAGTTGAATTTTTGATGAGTTTTCCATAATTGTGACCTTATTATAGGAAACAGAAAAGCGGAGATTAATAGATTTCAAGGCTTTTGTATTCATTTTCTACCCTTTTGGTGAATTTTATTGGATTTCAATGGGCCCTAGCCCTTCATATTTAAGCAAGATATAAACCACGAAATTCATTTGCTATCCTTTGGTGAATTTTATTGGATTTCAAAGGGCCCTAGGCCTTCTTATTTAATCAAGATATAAACCAGGAAAAGTTTCAAGTCCTAGGAATCAAGTTAAATATAACATTGCTATTATCAACAACTGAGGTTCATTAGAGAGAGATGATATATTTATCTTTTGTCATGAGAAATTCTACAGTACACATGCCATGTAAGAGTGAAAGAGCAGGAGATATTGGATAAATGCATCATTTCTTCATCAAAGAAAAGATAAATACAACCACTCCATAGAAAAGTACGCAATGCACAGGTTATGTATGATAGATATTGATAGCAGTCGAGACTAATTGCACAATGTTTGTTAAAGGAAACCTCTCCTTGTTCTAACATCATCACCAGGACCTCAAGATATGTGGATGAATATTCTCTCGCAAATCGTTTATGGTTGATTTGTCCTATCTACCATGAGGCTAATATGGTGGTTGATGTATTTGCTATGGAGGTTTCAAGGTTTTCAGATACAACTATTTGATGCTCTAGGCCTCCTAATTTTCTTTCCCTTCTTTTACTTTATGATGTTGCACAAATGTTTTATTATAGTGAGCTATATTTTTTTCTTCTATTTTAATGAAAAAAGGGTGGGGGCCTTCTACCTCGCTGATTTACCAAAATAGATAAAAGACAATATCGTGATTGGTGGATTCATAAACATTTGAAAATTGACAATTTAAATAATATGTGACAAGATGCAGTAATTTAAGACGGGATTGAGGTGATCAATTTTGAGATTTTCAATGTTGAAATAACAGTTTGTTATGGATTTTTGAGGTTCACCCTCCATTTCCCGGGACGGTGGCCTTGTACATAAACCTCCTCTCTCCCTCTTTTTGTGTGTTTGGTTTTTTTTGTTTTTTGGAAAACGACTTGTTGGCTTGGAGAAACCACCATCAACCCAATCTCTTGGAAACGCATCTGGATGGGTGTAGGGCTTTCATTCGGGTCCAACTTCCATAGCCGGTGGGTCAAGTCTAACTTGTGGACCCAATGTTTTCTATACATAATCATGCATTTCCAATTAAAAAATACACAATATATATTTTAAACAAATTTCATATTTTTGACCTCGATCTAGGTCTGACGGACCTAGCCCTGATTACGTTTGGGTCCAACCTTGGAATTGTATTGGGGGATAGCCATTTGACCTGTTTAAAAGCCCAATCAGTGTTTCAAAATTCAGATTAGTGGGGCGGATCGTTCAACCACAAATCCATGCCGGAGCATTGGATCAGGGATCCAAGCAGATCTGGATCGGTAGGAATCGGTGATCCGTGAATATTTAAAAATAAAAAAATGAAATAAAAGCTAAAATAAAAGATTATTGGGTGTGAATTTAGAGGGGACCAAAAAAAAATTAAATAAAAAAATATATATACAAAGGGGTTTTTAGGGAGAAACCGAGCTATCCCAAAAATAGTTTGATCCCGACCGATTCACATCCACATCAGCAGTCTGGATCGGAAATCGTCGGGTTATAAAACACCGCCCCAATGAAATTCAGGGTGCCATTGTTTTAGGAATCTAATCCCCAGCAAATGTGGTGCATCATAATACCATGCACTACCATTATACTTTTTAACTCAACAAAATCTTTGGAAAATGCTTTTCGTAGGGCTACAACTCTATTAAAATAAGTAATAATAATTGTTTCATGTGGGTTGGACCGCATTTGTACAATATGCGATCCAGAGGTATAAAGCATCCATCTTAAAGATGGATGCAAAGAGGTGATCTATCTAAAACCCATTGTAACTAGCGGTCTAAATGTTTTTTTAATATAATAATTATTTAGGGTTTTAAATTTTTTATTTATTTTTTCATATTCATGATCTCCATGTTAAAGATTATATATTATCTAAAAAGTAGAATCAAATTATATTTAAAAAATATATTTATTGTCAATCCTGCATTTGTACATGTGCGGGCTTACCCGCATCCAATAAGTAAAGCCTCACCTCATAACTCATCAAAAATTGCAATTCAAGTGTTAAAAAACTTCTAAATCGATCATCTCACCTTGAACATTATGGTTGTGCAAAAAAAAATAGGATTTCAAATTATATAAATAGTATATATTGCAACAAACCATCTTGACCATTCATTTCGCCCTAAAAAAAAGTGTTTATATATCTGCAAGATCTGTACCATTTATTGAGTTTCAATATTTATTGTTGATGTTAGAAATTAATTTTAGAGCCATTATAAATATTTCCGATGCCAAAAGTGCTATCCGGATGAGGATTTGAGGTAGGCTTTATTTTGTTTCCATAAAGCCTAGGCCCTATAGAAACTTTATTCAGAAAATGGTTTGGTAGGGTTGTGGCCCTATCAAAATAAGTAAAGCCTCATTTCATAAGTCATAAAAAATTATAATTCAAGCGTTGAGAAAGTTTTATTTTTCTCAAAAGGCATTGAGAAACCTTTATATGGATAATCTCAGCTTGAATATTATGATTGTGCAAAAACATAGGATATCAAGCTCTAAAAATAGTGTCATTGCAATCAATTATTTAGATCATCTGTTTCGCCCTAAAGATAAGTGTTCATAGATCGGTAAAATCTGTATTATTTTTTGAGTTTCAAAATTTATTATCGCTGTTGGAAATTAATTTTAGATCCATCATGGAGATTTTTGTTGTCGAAAGTGCCTTCCAAATAAAGATTTGAGGTGAAGCTTTATTTTGTTTTCATAAAGCCTAGGCCTTATAGAAACTTCGTCCCATCTTTTATGCTTAAGCTCTCACAAATTTGTTCTTAAGCAGGACGGATACCTACTCAAGCGTAGACTATCCGATTAAGGAAATATGGATTTTCAGCCCAAATTCACTTTAGATTTCACATTCCCTCTCTAAAAAATGTCTCAACTTCTCCCCGGAACGTTGAAACTTGCCCTTTTCCCAATTCTTGCGACTTATTCATTCACACGAGCACACCATTGATCCACTAAAACCAAGTTTCCAACCCAATTTAAGCAAACGTTTTTCGCGATTTTCTCTCTCTAAAAACGTCGACTTCCTTTTCATCCTCACCCAAAAATGTCGATTTTCTCTCTCTAAAAATCGACCCTAGATTTCATAACTCGGCGTGGATGCGCCCATTTCAGATCTTAGTTACCCTTTTAAAGAAAGCGTACGGCCGAGGCCCTTTCCTTTAGACCTGGAATTAGGAAAGGTTCGTCCTAGGGCAAAACGGTCATTTTGCTTTCATGGACATATACGGCATATTAGAAAAAGTTTTGGGGTTTTTGAAGATTTAGAGAGAGAAAGGCGGCCAGAGGTCGAAGCGTGAGAGAGGGCATTTTAGAGAGAGAAAGAGAATACAGTATTTAGAGAGCGAAAGAGAGAATTTTGGATTTCCTTATACAGCGTAGAACCCACAGGAAGCCGCCCTCTAGAGAGAGAAAGGGAGAGAGCGAGGGGTTAATCTCTTATCATGTGGGAGAGAGGAGAGAGGAGGGACATGTCCCCCTCTTAATCAGACGAACATTGGAAGAAAGAGAGAGAGGGGAGAACGCGAGATGGGTCTGTTAAAACTATCTTCAGATCCCTTTGCCCTTAAAGTTCCTTTTTCCGCAGTCATCATCCCTTCTTCTGCAACATCTGACCTTTTCTTTTAGGTCAGGAGCTGACGCCTCCATTTAACTCTGGTTATTCTTTAGATTTGGAGGTTTTGTTTCAAGAATAAAGAACTCTGGTTATTCTTTAGATTTGGAGGTTTGTTTCAAGAATAAAGAACCCTGGTTAGTCGTTAGATTTGGAGGTTTTGTTTCAAGAATAAAGGCATGGAGGACGAGGCTATCAAGCGGAACACCGATTGTGTGTACTTCTTGGCGTCACCATTAACCTGCAAAAATGTAAGATCTCTGACCTAATCCAACTCTCTCTCACTCTTTCTATCTTTAAACTATGGTTCTTTTAGTTTTATCTAATTATTCCTGCATCTTCTTTGGATTGATTTTCAGTATCTTTTTTTTGTCTCTAATCTTGATTCTCTTTTATGAACCTATGCAAGAGTCGATGAATATTTACATGGTTGATGCATTTTTCCTGAAATTATGAGTTTGTTGTGATTTTTTCTTTTCAAGATCAAGATGATCTGTATTACCTGAGAAAGCTAGTTTCTGATTTGTATATAGCCATGGGTTAGAGATTTTCTTGATGATTCTGATCTCAAAAATTTTCTTTCCTTTCAATTGGCACCAAGAGATGCAGGCAAATGTAGACATGTGCTTCGATATGGAGAGAGAGAGAGAGAGAGAGAGAGAGAGAGAGAGAGAGAGAGAGAGAGAGAGAGAGAGAGAGAGAGAGAGAGAGAGAGAGAGAGAGAGAGAGAGAGAGAGAGAGAGAGAGAGAGAGAGAGAGAG